CAATCCCCCTACCCCCCCCCCCCCCCCCCCCCAAATCACTGTTTCTAATCAAGCTGTGGAAATCTCTACCTTCCCCTACTGCTCACTGCAACGTCTGCATAGCCAAGTGCATTTGTAACACAAGATTCTGCAGCATATTGGTTTAAGGCCAGTATAAACAACCAACAGAAGAGACACTGCCCTGGCTGAGAAGCATTACTTTAAAACATTCTGAATTTGCTCCAGGATCTCTAGCCTCTCTCACAGGAGGCAACAGAAACCAAGGCAGCCTGATGCAGAGTTTAGAAGCAGCTTTCCTGGAATTCCCACCTCCCACTGGGCTGCCTATGATTCCACTAAAAATGGGGTGGAGATTTCTCCCAAAATGCAGGAAGCTCAACCAAGCAGTTCAGCTCTACCAAGCTCAACAGCAGTTCAGGGCATACAGCTGAATGCAGAAACAGGCATGGTCTTGTCAGGCAGTGGAACCAGATTAACAGGATGGGGTTGGGAGTCAGTGACCCAGTCCATCCCCTCCTTGGACTAGCTCACGTGTCCTTTATTCAGACTTGGATGAGCTCTATCGTTACCTCTTCTAGAATGTCTAACAGCAAGAGCAGGTTATTCTGCCATCTAGTGAACCCTTCTCAAGAGGAACTGCTCACCTGTCTCTCACCTGCAGGCTGTCAATTCTCACTGCCTTTGTGTCCCCACCTGCCTCATTAGCTCCCCGATGACTTTCTTGTAGATTCAGATAGAATTACTGTGGCCTTCTCTGCCAGACCAGCCTACCTATTCCTTTCTGCACCTCTCACCAATTTGGCCAAGTCTGCAATGGCGCAAGAGCCCAAAGCTTACATAGAGCTTCAGCTGCTCTTCAGGACTGGAGAAGCAGCAGTAGCCGTCAAACCCCCATGAGTATCATATGGAGGCCTCTAGCTGCTCCCCTTCAGTATGGAGGGGCCAGGCTGAATGCTCTCTCTTTACCAAGACGAATGGAAATGGGGGAGGAGACGACAACTTTACTGACTGTTGCAGGTCTCTGCACCAGGTTTTCCAGCCTGGTGTGGCTGAACTCCAGGCTGATGACGTTATACAATTTCTCCCGCTCTGCCTCTGGGGTTTCATAGTAGCGTGCCCACTGTGCCATGGACATCTCAATGTCCCTCTGCGTGTTCACATCCATGACATCCACCATCCGCCGGCTCCCTGCCAGAGCAAAATCAGACATCAATGCTGTGCACAGGGGTCCATAAAGAACAGACAAACCAGGGCACAAGAGGACAGGACCCCTCTGAGGGATGAACTTGTCAGCCCCAGCCATCTACGTACAAGGCCAATGCCTCTCCTGCAGGAGCATACAAAGGCTCTCGTCCTCATCCATGCCAGGGCAACCAGAAACTAGATAGTTTTCTGAAAAAAGCCTATGGCTGAGCTACTCCTGGTCACAGATTAGATATCTTCTACATAGTAAAAGTCCTTGATCCTTTGGACTGGAGGGGCTGTTAAAGCCCAGCCAGCCATATGCTGAGGGAGCCATGAAGATGGTTCTAGCTCATGGATTCAGCAGCCTGCTACTCCTCCAACCCTTCTGAAAGTCATGGCGGCCAATTAATACCATGCCACAAGGCAGCAGGAGACACGTACCTACATACAGTCGCACGTCATTCACACTGAAGTCAGGGTCTGGCATCCTGCAAGACAGACATGTAACTAAAACAAACCAGGATCTCCCATCACAGCCCTCTCCCCCTTCTGTAGCCCTGTGCCTCATACAAATATCTCTAAGGCTCCAACCCCCCTCCTCCCACCGTTTGCTTCCCTCTCCCTTACAGAACGCTTTAAGCTTCCCCCTCCAACTCTGAGGGTAGTCAAGAGATCAGCACACAAACCACTGTGTGTAAACAGATTCTTCTGCAAACATCAAATCCCCTCAGGTGCCTCAACAGGAAAATGCTGGGCACAAATGTTGCAAGGCAAGTAGTTTAGGAATAGGTTACGTGTCACCCATGAGTACATGGATTGCATAGCAGCTCTAGGAAAAGGTGTGATTCCCCCCCCCCCACACACACACCCTGAGCAACATAACTAGGTCAAACTAAATTTTAGTCTAAAATAAGGCTCAATGTTCATTTTAAAAAGCCAAGGTTATGGCCTGTCAATACAGGTGATGGTGTAGGTGTAGACACGAGTATTAGCCACATCACACTGATGCAGCATATCTACTCCGTGTGTTTGTACTGGTGTAGCTATACTAGCATAAGTGACAAGGAGTCCTGTAGCACCTTATACACTAACAGATGTATTGGGCATAGCACAGTGAAGTTAGTCTATAAGGTGCTAAAGGACTCCTTGTCGCTTTTGCAGATCCAGACTAACACGGCTACCCTTCTGATACTTTACACTAGCGTAAATATTACCAATGTACACAGGGTCTATATCTCTAGCCCTTGTGATTAAAGAAAACCTTTCAAAGTGTGAATCGCATAACAGCAATATCTGACACACCAGAGTCATGATGTTTTAACTACCCTGATCCAGTTGAAGTGTTACAAAAACAATGACTAGCACAGACCATTATACCAGTAAAACAGGCTTTCATTGATATAACTTGTTTCCAGTTTCTTCACAATTACAATAGATGAAATAAGTCATCCCCATAACTAGCAGACTCGTACTGGTACTAAAAACTGCACAGACCTAGGTCTAAATTTTCAGGGAGTAAAACAATAGCGCTGAAGGGTGAACTGCCACATTCATCTCAATATGGGCTTAATTTAAATATTGTTAGTGGATCATAGTGTATGAGGAAAGAGGGATGAGCAAGTGAAGCTGATCTGCACAATTATAAGTGACGGTCTCACTTGGCACCACAAAAGCACAGCTCTTGGGAGTATAACAGTTAACACCCTCCACCCAAGTCAGCAAACAGCCATGCCCAAGGAACCTACCAGAACTCAGAGCTGGGCATGTGAGTCACTAAGGTCAGGCCCAAGGAGACCAAGCGTGTTCATCGTCCTTCAGAATGGTCCCAACCTACTGGCTGGCCTCTCCCTTTAGCAACTCAGTCAGTTAAAAACATCTTAATTCTACTGATTAACCCAGTCTTATAACTCTCCTCCAACTGGTATTCTGACAGGGCTCAAAACCAAGCAGATGTCTGCTTTGTTCTGGCCCACCCCTGAGGACTCTTGGTGCTACAGTAAGTCAAACCAAACAACCAACAGAGAGGTGTGTGGGGGGGGGCAGGGGCATTTAGAAGGAGCACAGTGAAAGTGAGCTGGCCTCAGCATTGGTGCAGCTACCAGAATCTGTTTTCCCACAGTTGGATGTGGGGGGGCAGTGGGACTATATTCTGAACTGGCCACACTTGGAAGAGCATCCAGCAGAGCCACTTGTGACAGAAAGGCCCTGTCAGACCTCTAGGTTATGTCTCTAGTACAGCCAGTGGCAGGCTAGACGAGTCACGTACCCTTCCCAATCCTCACTTACTTTATTCCAAGCCCATCAGAGTTCTTGAAAATCAGTGGGTCTCTCAGGCCACCCCGCTGGATGTATTCAACATTGAAGTCTGTCATGGGGTGAGAGAAAAGAAGATGGGATGTTTTACCAGAGATACTGGGATATTAACCAGGGAAGGGGCAGGGAGCAAAAGGAGCGGAAAGAAGAACTGGGACTGGCCACTCTTCTTCAGATTTTAATCTTCGAGAACTATTCTAATCAGTTGTGGGCACCCTGCCATAGGCAAAGGCTAGACTAGCATAAGTAGGGTACAACACACATAAAAGTCCACAATTTAATTTTCCACAATTAAAATTGAACTTAAGTTTCCTTAGTCACAATATATTTCGGTATCAGTTGAACATAACGCTTTATTGACATTAATAATTTTTAGGTGGACAGCCCAACCCCCACTCATTCCCCTGACTATCCAAAGCTGATTATCCGATCTGGCCCCAGCCACAATGGATAATTGGGGCTCTACCCTAAGTTTTTACATTGTGAAGAAATAAAAATAAACAATTCTCTGTGAAAATGCAAGTTCCACATTTTTCTGTGGCAAACTGATTTCTAGGATCCCTGGTGATCAGGTTTTTGGGGGAGATGGAGCTGAAAAGCCTTATTTACTCTGTTGCATATACTAGGAGAGCAGAGCAGCTCAGAGAGGAGACACAATCAAGACACAACAAGAGGAAACAAGGCCCCAAAATATCAAGAGGGACAGGGGTTGGGGAGGAGAGGAGACAGAAAATAAAAATTGAGGCAAACATCTGGATTCAGCTACCAGTAGTTGAGTCACCACTGATCCAATTGGCGGCTAAAGAACTCAGCAGTGAATTGTGTTTGCTAAGACCCTGAGCGCTCGGGGAAGCACCTCTCCTCCCAGAGATTCTATATATGACCTACTAGAGAAGCAGTTCTCCCTCCCCTCTACAAGAATGAGGACTATGGAGGGCACATTGATCAATATATTCACAGAGGAACTTTTCCCGCAGTTTCTCTCTCTAGGTACTTTGCAGCGGTGGGGGTGTGGGCAGAACAGCCCAGCATAGAGGACACAGACCTTTGCCTTCCATAAAGAGGATGAAGTTGGCATTGAATTTGTTGGTGGAGAGTTTCTCCTCCAAGTCAAATGTCCTTTTTCCTTCTATTTCATCATCTGAGATGCCATCATCTTCATAGCGCCGCCTCATTGTGCCACGCTGTGGAGAGAACAAAGAGGAGGATGAGAACAGCTGCAGATAGTGCCAAGCAGCCAGCTGACTTCCTCTTCCAACTGTCACAATAACCCCAATTTAGACACCTTGCTGGAAGACACATTCCAGTTTTACAAAAACCTACCCTGTGTTTTCTGAGGGCCTTGCATCACCTGATGGGTACTGCATTGGCAATGAGCACATAACCCACCCGAGAAAGGAGAAATAGCTATGTTAGCAGGTCTACACATTATCCCGGTGTTATTCTGGGGTATCTACCACTGGTGAACTGGCACATACATTTATTCCCCCACCCCTTTCTCTCAGGGAAAAAAAAACACCAACTATTGTGGCCAGTTTCCTGGATGCAGGCCATGCAACGGTAATAATAGCAGCCTCTGCTCCCACATGCAGCTGTAACTTTATATCTGTTTTCCTTGCCAACCCCTCCCGCTCCCTTCCTATAGGTTCCTGCACTTTAGATCAAATGGGGGACAACTGAAATTACTCTTCACTGGCCCCAAGTGTTGACCACACCTCAACTTTCAAGGAAGGGATGGGATGGTAGTTCAAGCAAAACAAGGCCAGTGCCTCCATTTCTCTGCTAGTTTTCACCAAGAGCATTAACCGGGCTTCACAAATTCATCAGTGGGAAATTTTTTTTTTTCTTCTATACAGTTAGATTGCAGCAGACTAATTACATTATTGATTACACTGGGCATACAGAATGCAGGCACGCTTTCATCTTTGGCCTTGTTGGCACAAAAAAGTTAGTAAACAAGGAACATGTGATACCAGCATAAAGATGCCTCTCTGAGACCTTAGTGATCTGCAAGCAGGTTTATAGCTGCTGGAGCAAAGCAAGTGGGATAGGTGGTAGGGGTTAAAACTCATTTATGAGTCCAGATCCAACTCTCCATCCCAGCCAAGTGAGCTGGGAAGCGAGGGAGTAAAAACAGGAACTTGCTCGGGAAGAGCAAACCCCAGGAGCCTGCAGGGAAGCACTACCACCTCAGGATGTAGAGATGATAATCAGAACTAGCTGTTCAGATCCTGGACTCAGTTTGCCATTTGACTTGACCAGATTCCCTTCCTCAACTCTCTCTGCTGCCAGCTCCACTTTCCCTAGCTTTCCCATTCTCCCCAGGCCCTGTGATGCGTTACAAAGCCAAAAAATAAACATAAAACCAGAGTATTTTAAGAGGTTACAATTAACTTGCCAACCACCATCCTGATCACTGCAGATTGTATCTTTCACCCTATCCAGGCTTTGGTCTTGGCTTTTGGGAATAAGGAGAATCTTAAGGCCATAGCCACATGAGAAAGTTGCACTGATTTAGTGCACTTAAACCAATTCAGCTAAACTGATGCAAAAGGATGTGGTTTGAGAGTGGATAATTTGACTACCTCAACTTGCAAGCAGCGTTCCCTGTAAATTGTGTGCTTGTACAACCACTCAGGAGAGATTCCAATGCCACCTAGGTGATCAGCAGTACACCCACAGCTAGATTTGTGTTTCTCCTGGTGGTGCACATTCTCACATACCTCTATGCATATAAAATGTATTCCGCACATGTCTGGAAAAAATCCAAGGGAACATTGCTTGCAAGTAACGTACAAGTTTGGTCTAATAGCATCTTCATAATCACTGATCTATTTAAAAGGTATTTTCTACCATCCTCCAAAGAAATATACCCACTAATAATACCTCATTAACTTAGCTTGCGTTTCATGAAAGTTAACACATTAGTTGAAACAACAAGGGTGTAACCAAACTTATCAGTAAGCCATGCAACAACATGCAAATAATGAATGGTTTTAAAAATTACCTTGCTAAATATTCTACAATTTTTTTGTTCTCAAACTTGTTTGAATAATTTGTAGATGATTAAGTATTCATCTCCAGTGAAATTTAGTGTGGGTCTTAGAAGCCACATTTCAAGAACACATTGTAAACATGAACAGTAGTCTTAACTCAACAAAAGTTTGATTTTTTTTTATAAGATACGGTAAGATAAATGCTCTTTACATTTAAAGTCATTTTAGGACAATTTAAGACTTTAGGACATCTAACTTATAAATGAAGATTTCATATTGAATAATTTTAATGTTGTCGTTTCAGAGACATTTTGCATACTAGCTCCTGGGAATAGCACTCTCTCTTATTAGTCGATAGTAGCTCCACTATTTTTATAAAACAATAACATGTAGATGTATTTGCAGGACAAGAAGCTACAGTAGTAACCTCACCTTTGGATTCCTGATCATTTGAAATATTTAAATGATACACTATATGTCAAACAGAAGCTGTGAGTTGAATGCAGATATGACTGTATGAGCTTCTAGTTCTATGTTACACATGGCAAACTAGATGATCATAATGACCCCTTCTGGCCTTACACTTTTTTCTTTGGTGCCATGGCAGCATCCACACATACTTAACAGTTGAACACAGCAATTCAGAGTCCCAAACTATGCAACTTTGGCCCAGGATTTTGAATGACTGTGGTCTTAAGTTCAAAGCTTGGTAACAAGTAGTATTTCAGAAGGCAAGAAACATTTGTGCCTGCATGCTGATTCAGGAAAGGTTTGCTTCAAGTCTGTCTCCTGACCACATGAGCAGTTAAGGTACATTAGGAAGTTGCGCACCAGTGCAGCTGTACCACAGCTGAAGAAACAGGTAAGAAGCTCTTTAGTGACGATAAGGCCAGAGCTACATTATTGCACGGCAAAGTGCTGTGCTTTTTGTACATGTCTTAAAGTGTTTAGAAATTCAATTCCCCTTTAAGCAAGAAGCCCTGTGAGCCCACCCCCCAGCTACAGCAAGCCTCCCATCGGGAGGGAATGCTAGGATTTGACAGTAGTCAGAAGAAGCAATAGTGACTGGCTTACCACATTGTGTTCATTGCAAGATGCACACTTGCAGCGTGCCACCTCCTGCAAGATGGGAGTGAAAGAGACCAGCTCCTTTTAACCCCTTGGGATCTGGCTCTTGTCCCCTGGGAGGGTCAAAAAGAGGAAAGCCCCAGATCAAGAAGTGAAGTGTTATCCTAGTCTGTCACCGTATCACTGGATAACAAGTTCTGAGACTAGTTATACACCCTCCCCTCCTCCAATGCACATATAAAAATAATACATCTCTACAACGGAAGCCTCAATCCTGCCACTCAATGGAGATTGGCACAGCATCTCATTTTCCCTGCCCCCTCCCAGGGTCCTCTTTTACCCTTCTCCCTCTGCCCCTGCCCTTTGTACAAGCTAAGGGAGGGAATGATCTGCCAGGCTCCTTACAAAATTGAAACACCCCTGAAAAGCCAGAACATTAGTCACTCTACACAGCAGGGGTGAAGCTGGCCAAGGGAAGTATCTGTTGTCTGGCAGTCACACAAAACCAAAACCTAGTCCAGACACTGGAGGTTTCATTTCTGCTCGCTTGCTGGGAAAGGTGCATAGCTCTTGATTTTATCTACGACTGAAGCAAACCCAGCCCCGAACTGAAAGTGAAAAAATTGTGACAGCCATATTTGGCAGATAATCATGCTAGAGATAAATCATGCTAGAGATATGGAGTGCTACTTTAAAGTAATCCCTGTGCTGAAGAGAAAGTGTGAGGGTGTTAAGCAACCCTTTCACAGTTGTGTGGGGAACCTTTTTTGGGGGGGGGGGGGAGAGGAAGGAACAGATCCACAGGGGGGAAAAAAATCAGTTGGGGGCTACACATGAGAAGCAAAAAAACCAAAACCAAAAAAGCCTCAGACGTGGCTCCCAACTGAGAAGCAGAAAAAAAAAAGGAAGACATTCATCTCCCTCATGAAATTTGGGGCACCAGGGTTCACGTTGCACCAGGGTTCACGTCGCACTTGGTCCTTCAGGGGGGCAGGACCAAGACTCAAGGCTTCTCCTTAGGGTCAGATTAACTCTTCTTGGAGCCTGGGGCTAGTAGATTGTGGGGGCCCCCAAGTTCTGGAAAGGGGTCAAAAATGAGGGGTTCAAATGTGTGGAAGGGGTTGGGGATCTGGATGGGAAGTGCAATGCAGGAATGGGATGGGGTGTGGGTCTAGGCAGTAGATAGGGCACAGGAGTGTGGTGAGGGTGCAGGATAGGAGAGGGAGGGAAGTTCAGGAAAGGGTTGGGGAAGCGGGGTGCAAGCAGGAGCAGATTTGGGGTGCAGAGTCTCAATGGTAGGGGGAGGAGATGAGGATAGAGCTCCAGGGGATGGGGGACCCTGGTGGCTCTGTGCCGCCGTATGCTGGCAGGCACCACCACCCTGCCACTCTCCCGGGATGGGAATCCCGGCCAATGGGAACAAAAGGGACTGAGCTTCCCTGTGCTGCCATTCTGGTGCAGAGTTACTGCCTCTCTCCTCCCCCCACCAGAGCCTACAAACTGGATGCTGACTGCGGCTGGCCTGGACCCAGCCCAGGAGGCTCAGGCACCCCCAAGCAGAAGGGAGCCCTCGCCTTCTACCCTCCACCCCCATGGCGGAAGTTCCAGCGCTGGCTCACCCTGCTGAGGATGATGGGAGCGGGGGGGAGGGGGAGAGGGGAGAGAGACAGGATGGAACGGACCTCCTGCGCCAATCAAGGCAAGCTGCAGGTTGGATCTCCAACCCTGGAACACAGGTTTTTGCAGGCACATCAGTTAGGCTTGGTGCTTTTTCCTTCTTTCGGATGTTAAAAAACCTTAAGAGTTCTTTTTTGGTTGTACTTTATGAATTGAGGTCCTATGTATAATAGGACATTTTAGAAATAGCCCCCTGTGGCAGTCACAACAGTTCAGCTGTACCAGTGGAAACAAAGCAAACACTGCTTTGGCAGCTTCTGGTGATTTACTACTGTTTTGAAATGAACCTGCTTGCAAACAAGTTTAACTAAAATATTTTTGTCTAAGTGGTTTCTCCTTAATAATAGTCAGGTTCCCTGTAGCCTACACACACACACACACACAATACTGCCAAATGTCCTATCAGAAACAAAAAATCTCCCCCCGCAAGTGTTACTTTTAAC